TTCGTCTTCGGAGAATTCGTCTGCGGAAAGCGTCTTCGGGGTCTAATCCGTCTTCGGGGGCTAATTCGTCTTCGGAGAATTCGTCCGCGGAAAGTGTCTTCAGGGTCTAATTCGTCTTCGGGGTCTAATTCGTCTTCGGAGAATTCGTCTGCGGAAATCGTCTTCACATTGCGGGAGGAGAGGTGGCTGTGCTTGAATGTGTCTTCGTAATGTGTCTTCGTCTGCGGGTGGAAAAGTGGGACCCCCACAGCGGCTGCAATGTATTTATTATCACTATTTCTTGTTGAGACATTTTTTGTGGTTATCATGTTTGTTGATATATTTATTTATATTATATGTCCAATGTATTTTTGTATATTTGTATTATTGTTTAACTACAGTATTCACTTTTAGTTTTTGGTCTGCACTGTTGGGATGTAATAATACCTGATTAATGTCTCTCGCAATAATGTCTGTTATTTCGGTCTTAAATTAAAACACCTCCTTGAATAATGTCTATATGTGTTTCATTTTTAAAGAATACCCTTCACTCATTACTTTGATGTCTAATTAGTGATGTCCTCTAAAGTCAGTTTTGACTTCTATTGGTTTCCTTTTGAGTTCCTTTGATCTCTATCAATTACCTTTGACATTGTCTCATTAAGTGCTTTAACTCCCTTTATTCAGTCCCTTTTTGTTTCCTCTTGATTTCCTATAAAATCATTTTTTACAGTAATTCCTTTTGATGCCCTTTTAACTCCATTTGATTTTATTTCAGCTCCTTTTAACTCCTGTTGATGTCCTTTTGATTCCTTTAATTCCTTTTGAGGCCTTTGTTTTTTAATTCGTTTTGTTTTCCTCAAGATTTCTTCAGAATTCATTAATCAGGAGTCTCATGGTAAAACCACCGCCGCCCAGAGCCATCCACACATCGCCTGGAAGATCGCCACAGGCGGTGCAGAGAATGCACCTGTAGCCTAGGTGATGATGCAGGATGAAGAAACAACAGAACAACAAACATACGTATTTGTGTTTGCTTCTCTTTTTTCAAATATAATGAGAACATCTGAGGACAAATCTCAGTAGACGGTTTGCTAAGGCGCCAAGGGGTACACATATCCCAACAGCGCTGGCCTGTGCTGACATTGAATCACGACAGAACTTTTCAATCACCTGATTTTCCAATCACCTGATTAGGACAAAGAAAGGAAACAAAAAAGAACACTATAGCTTGCGTACGCTTGTGTGCTTAGCTTCCCAGTGCCAGTGCAGCCGGTAGGGTCAAACAAAAATTGAGATGCTGCACAAGGCAAAAAGGGGTTATCTAGGGTTTATCTATCCCATCATGAAGGTACACTTTTGGACAGCGTCTACCCCCAAAGAGCCCAGTGTGTCATTCCACACGCAGACTCCGTGACTACCCTCCCTCACAGGTGCTCGAAGGAGAAAGAAAACAACTGCTGTCAAACAAGCAACGTCCTCTACTAGTAAAAGGAACTTTGCTTGGCCCTGAAGTCCTCAAACAGTCAATGCTTGTCCAGTCTTGGCTCCAGCTTGGACTCCGTTTGACTCAAAGGATTTAAATGCTGGCACCACAGACCCGGCCCCACAAACTCGCATCCCCTGAACAAGCAACCCCGTAAGACTGACCAAGCAACCCATCCCACCACAACCCACCCAACCATGCATGGTAAGCCTGGTAAGCAAGTGTTCATCCACCGACAGCCTGGCTTGCAGGGGTGGTGAAACCCAAGCTGCTTAGCTGGAGCGGTGGAAGCCGAGCAACCGCGTTGATCGCCTGCAGCCGTAAACGCAGGAAATCATCGCCATAGCGATGCAAGCGCTGCTCAAAAAAATGCAGGGCCTCAGGATTGCCTCAGGGGAGCTGCAGGGCGATGGTACCAAACACCCGAAGTACTCAGTGAAACTCAAAAACACCTAAGCTGCTACTCAAACACCAAAACTGAAGGTGAAGCTCCTGACATCAAAGCAAGCAATGTCACAGAGTCCATGTGGTTCAAAAAAGCGAGCCTTTCTAGGGCGAATCGGCCGGTTGAGAGAATAGTCGACAGTGCTTTGACTGTTGAGCCACACAGGTGATTCCCAAAGGGGCTGCATACTATGCCTCTGGTGGTCCCAAAAACGATTCCGACCGTTCACACTGGACACCCCAACAAACGACTGGGCACCAAACGGACAACACCGGACAACGGACGCAATCCTTGACAACTCATCCGCAGCTCATCCCAATTGCCAATCATGTGATTAGCCTCTTCAACCTTCAGAATCATAGTCTTAACGCTAATCAGTCCTGATACTTGAGTCGTGACCTATGATTCTTCAAGCATCTCACCTCCAACCACTCTGACAAGGGTGTTCTCAGCCAAACACCCTATGGATCTCTATGGAACTTATTGATTTGTCCAGTCCACCCTGAACTGTCCTTGAGCACTGTGATGTGTACCAGAACGTGGCAACACTTCGACTTGGAGAGGTCTTACCAGTGCGACTTGTCGTACGTGTCGTACTACTGTGACTATACGTATCATCATCTACCAGTCGTGCGTCATGGCGTACGACTGGAAGACAGGAACGGGGTTTAGAACTCCTTGTTCCCGCGAAAAAAACACATCAACTGGCCTTCCACTGCCACCACCTGCAGGCCAGCCAGCAGCATCATCTCTGAGTCGACTCCCTGAGAAGCACCGAAGTCAAAGGCTAAAGCGGCCAAGGCAGAGGAAGATGCCCAAGACGATGGCCTCAAAAGGCCAACATGTGACGAGACCGCTGTGCTGAAGTGTTGTGTGCGACGGGTGCTCCGACATGAGGCCGACTATATGGGCCTAGTGCAGTGGCAATACTGAGGTAGCATTGGTCACCACCAGTGGGTGTTGCAGGGTTGATTCAAACGCCAGCGTCAACGGATCGAACTCCCATCTAATTTAGGTGGTCGACGCAAACCGCCGATGTTCGTGTCGGGAAACGTGGCAAGAATTGACGCAAACCGAGATCATGGCATCGGCCCACCCTGCCTGGGAGCTGTCGAGGCAAAATGGAAGTTCTGGAGTTCCCAAAGGACCCTGCAAAAGCTGAAGATGGAACCGTCGACTCATGTGGGGAACATGTCATGTTGAAGGTTAACTCTAAGCATACTTGTCCCCTGAAGAAAAGGGGACTTACCAGCATGCTTCATGATGGCTCTACATCTTCAAACTTGGGTTTTAATCGCCGGTTGGTCATCACTGGTTCAACATGTTTTGGCCACCGTGGTCGTTCCGGTGGCCTACTGCCGGACGTTCGGAAGCCATGGTGGACCAGGTCTGGTTTGGACCCACCGGTTGAAGCGTCACAGGCACGTCCTCACGTCTGCATTTGTCCTCACGTGCAACGACTTCACTGAAGCTTTCATTGAAAAAGGCTTTGCTTAATGGTCTCTCCTCTCCCAAGCTGCAGTCCTGATTTAAATTTTGAAATGGAGCAACATTGTACACACCCTGCCAGCCTGAACCCTAACTTGTCTTAGGTTATGCAAACAAACTCGGGGCATTCTGGAGAACCACAGGTCCTGGGGTTTTCTTCCGGTATTGGCTGTGAAGGTATGTGTTTAAAATGGTTCCCTGGGATGGATCATCGAGCAGTGAACCAGTCATGACTTCTCTCTGATATTCTCACGAGGGTCTCCCTCCTAAACACTCCATGTAGGATATGCATGGCATACATACACTATATGCACGAATGCAATTATACTATATATAGCTAAACAAAATGCCATATCCAAACCTAGCTATGTACTCTATGTGGTCATCACCCACTTCACCCCATCCTATCATGACTCGAAGAAATGACTCTGCAGCGTGGCCGCCACAGGGCACCCACGCCTGAGGTACTCCAGTTGACCTCCTGAAATGCCCAGGGCAGCGAACAGGCCACCGCTGCTCCTGAAACCCGAACGGTTCAGCCGGACTTGCGTCTGAACCAACACTCGCATCCGAAAAGAGTTTGCCTTGGTGAGACCTCGGCATGCCGGGTACTCTGAAGCAATCATTAAGTATCTCAAAACCAGAAGGGACATGGTGCCGGATTCATTCTTCGATCGTCCGCCAAAATGGCCACGGTTCACTTGCAAAGTTGTCTCCTGGCTTCTTTCGAAAGTGTGTGCCATCTATACACTTACACCTACTCTATTTATAGAATTTATACATATACCTGGATCGGCACAAGTATTTGCCTTTTCAAGAAAACATGCTATTACGGCGTCTTTTTCCAAAAACAGTGTTTTTTTTTGTTGTGACCAGTGGAAACCGGCAGAAACCCCAAAAACATTGCGTTTTTTCCGCTTTCTCCTTTTTCCAACGGCGGCCCAGTGGTTCGGTCGGGTCGCCGCGGTCGCCACACCGGGCCCTTCACCTGTGTTCACCCAAGGCAATTGAGAGTGTCATCGGCCTTGCGAAGGAAGTGCAATGGCTTGGGAGGCAAAGGTGTCAATCTTCCCGAGGTCAAATAGTGCCTGGCGCGAGGAAGTGGGCGTATGTCTGCATGGTTCCCACGACCACCTGCTCACCCATTGGGAGGGCCACCTTCCGACCACTTTCCTTCCCTCCACCCTTCCCCTTTTGGTTCCAAGGGACGAGAGGACCTCGAAGATGGCCATGCCAAGACGACATCCACGTGCCCAGTGTGGTCGAAGATGGCCATGCTTCGTGAACTGCTGCGGGTCGACCTCATGTAGGTCGACTGAATGTCGTATGTCTATTTCTTTTGCAGGTTTGCCGAGTCGGACTATGCCAGTTTATAGAAGGCGGTGATGCGCGAAAGAGAGGATGCACCTGTTTTTGAAATGCAAACTTAAACTATATATATAATTAGAACATATTCGAACATATACTACGAGATAAATGGATTAAACTTGTTTGTAAACGAAGTTTCCCAACGAGGGCCGCGCGAGACTCCCACAATTTCAACCTCTTCATGTCAAAAAGCAACTCTTTCTATAAGGTCTTCCCAGGCACCTCCTGAGAGAAAGTCGGGTGATCGGACCCAAAGTCAAAGAATTGGAACCAGCTCGTCGTCTCGTGGTTCACCTGGGCGATCGAGACCGTTGATAGCAGGACATGTGAAGCGGGACTTGACGCAGAGTCACCAGGCCCCGCCATAAGCTGACACTCTTGCGCGACTGGCAGATGTGCCCACATTGCACCCCTTTTAACCACCGCAATGTGGGTAATACATATATACTAATATAATATATATAATATGCGGGGGAGATCTGTACCGTTTTAGAGCCCATGGAGAATGCGCCGCCACGAAAAGTGCTGGAAGCCTCCAGGGAGATCAGCGCGTAATCTGTAGAGTAGAAGTTCAGTAGAACTCTGGAGGAACTTGAACTGTGGCTTCAGTATAGAGCTGTCAGAAGAACTGAGTGTAGCTTGATTCTGACGCAGGGTGGAGATGGTCGGCTCGATTTCCGACTCGAGGTCCCAAAAGCCGCCCAAGGGACTGACCACATCGCTCCTCCTAGGCGAGGAACAAAGAGGGAACAAGGGAATTACATGTCTTGTTCAGCCACCAGGTCAGTGCAGTTTGGGTGCTTAAAGGACACCAAGGCAACCAACACGTGTTGCACTTCCACTATCCTCTAGCTAGAGATGCTGACGGTAATTCAGCATTTAACATGCTTCTATTACAAGATATGTAGACAGCATCATATCCTTGAAACGTGAAGCTCCTGGGGGAAAATATAGCAATGTTTCCATCAACCCAGAATCTTGACCAAGGTCAAACTACTTGGACTATCTTGGATTGCTTCGGCCACTCTGCTTCTACCTCACATTCAGGGTTGGGTTGTCTGGTCTTCCACTACCCAATACCAAGGAGACAACCAGCCGCATCTGAGGGAGCCTCTTCCAGGTCGAAGTCAATGTTTAGCAAACAGAATCTTGACATATGCTTTTGCGGCACAACGCTGCACACAGTTTGATTAAATTCCTAGCAAAAGGACATCAACTTTGTCCTGCTACAAGAAAGCACGGTTCTCTACAATTTCTGTATCAATATTGACATCGAGTGGTGCAACCACCAAGTATATATCGTACTTATCAATAATGAGAGCATCCCCTGTCATTGCTTACTGTGAAAACACATGAACAAGGGAGGCACTGATTTCTGACATTGACGCACAGCACCCACGTGAGACTCATCACTATCACCAAAAGCCTACGCAGGCTCTGACTCAGCACAATCCACTGGCTTGGCCTTCTCTACAACACGCAACCACGAGATATGGTTTCAGAGTAGATGGCGCAATCAATCCCCAAAAGGTGGTTTATATGGACCCCCATATACAAGACATCTTTGGGTGCCAGTGACATCTATTCTGAAACTACTATAGCTGAACCTGTTGGCAATAGCCTGAACTTCATGATCACCACTATCACCCCCCAAACCAGAAACGGACACAGTCCTGAGATACGTAGCTTGAAGAGGAAATGCTGCCACCGAAGATCCTGGAGCGTCGGCAGCGTCCCGCTCTTCAAACAGCATATGAACAAAACAAGTTGAGAACATTTAAACATATCTAGCAAAGGATCTGTACCCAATGCTGCATGGGAACTAAACCTTTTTCCTACCAGTACGTCGCGGTACTATGCGGTACTGCCATCTTGGTGAACATCTAATCCAGTGACTGAAGCAGAAATTGGGCGGCAAACAACTGACATTTGTGTTGCTTCGCTCGAAAACAAAAAAGTGCGCCTGTGGAAGGTCCATGTATATATATATATATATATTCAGTCCATAGGGATATATATATATATATATGGGTTTGTACTTTTTAAAGGTTCCCGGGCCGGGATGTTTGACTATGGGGTATGCTTCGGAGGTATGCTTCGGCGGTATGCTTCGGGGTATGCTTCGCGCAGTGTGAAGACTAAAGTAGTAGCATTTCCAGAGGGTATGCTTCAGGGTATGCTTCGGGGGTATGCTTCGGGGTATGCTTCACCTAAGTCGAACATCCCAGTCCTACATAAACTGGACACCTAAAACAAAGACAAGCCCATATATATATATAATGGTCCCGGATGGACGTGAACCAAAATCTAAACCAGAACCTCAAGTGACCCAATAGACTTTTCCTCTACAACATCAATGCCCCACTAAACCGTTTTTTCAGATCACCTGCCTGGATCTGTCTATAGGCTTAGGGTGTCACTTCCTGACAGCCCTGGAAGAGCTCTTTCACCGGCGGCGGCGCTTTGCGGTCCACCTGGGCCAGGAGCTTGGAGGGGAGAACTTCTTCCAGCGGATGATAAGTGCCAAGAAATACCTTACAATAGCTTCACGTGTCACTTGCCTTCACATGTCCTAGTCAACGAGTCAACTCTAACCACTCCACATGTCTCGCCAAGGATATTTGTGCCATAGATAAACAGGAGGCCATATGATGATACCCATATACCGTGTACGTATATTATGTATTAATATTTATTGTGTACAACACTTGCTTTATGGTCAATACTGAATCCTAAAGTCACTTCAAAGCAGTCCGAAACCACCCAGTGATGCAGCTCAAACCCAAAACGAACCGGCGCACAGAAACCGGACGTCTGGCCCGCCGGCACACATCATCCTGCTCCTGCCTGAAAGAATCCGTCACGGAAGGGACGACAGCACTGGGAGGCGTTGCGCTCTGCTTTGCCTGAGTTTTCAAACCACCTGAGTTCACACTTAACTTTCTCCACAAATAACAAGCGAGGGAACTGTTGAAACAAATAACAAGCTCAATCTCACCTGGTGAAATGCCGAGCACCTTTTAAAAATACATCACTGCCTTCTGAACCTACTATTAAACAACAAACGGTAGATGATTTTAGCGGTGTTTTTCCTTCTCAGCAAGGTTCCGAGTTCCTACCATTGCTCGTTTCGCCCTTTCGCCTCGAGGACTGTCTGGCGGACCTGACTACTTTCTTGGCTCTTGCTGACTCACCAAAAGTTTGGTTCCTAGATGGATTCTATTTTGGATACCCCCTCATTTACGGGACCCCTATCAACAAACGCGAGGAAGGAGTTTTTTATTGTTAGGGAGGGCGTGTTCTGTATATTATAGTATAGGTGAAGGGGTTACTCACCCCCCCCAAACAACTGGAGATCTTGATCCTTCTTCCAGATCAGCACCCCAATCCCTCCCATTCCTCGTTGGCGGCTGGTGGCGGGCGGCATTGGCCACGTTTTGAGGGTCCCAACAGGGCGGCCAGGACATGTAGTGCGGCCTTGAGCCTTCCGTTGGATCCACCTGGCTTCTTCCACCGGTGTGGACGGCATGGTCCTCCCGTGTCTGCCGGTCAGCTGGTGAAAGGGCTTGGAAGGCTGGGGAAAAAGCAAGGCGCAAAAAGAGTGAAGGATGAAAGGGACATTCGGAAAATGCCGCATACACACACCACACCTGGTTGGTGACTTGTACATTGATTGGTGGAGGGACCTTAGTAACCCAAACAAGATTTTAGCTGCTTTAGCTCTTTTTTGTGTTCTTTCTTTCCGGATGGACAGTGCTCGCACACTTGCGAGCCGCTAGCCCTCAAGTCCACCGAGGTTGTGGATCACTGGAATTCCACATCCCGTCTCCATACAGCGCCACCAATGGTGGAGCTCAGGAAAAAACCCTCCTTCTGAGATCCCTTTGGACTTCAAATATCATTTTCTTGAATCAGGATGAACACGGGTGTTAGGTGTTGAACCACATAACTTCCCTCATGCCAACAGTCTTGCAATTCGGAAGCCAAAAAAAACCGTCCTCCCGTTGATTCAGTCTCTGGATATCGACTTGGATCAATGGGGGGTGAGCTGACCCGTCATCCCATAAGCGTTTGCACCGAAGTTGTGCTCCACATTGATATTACGAATGCTTGCAGGGCGACCAAATCAGCAGACCAAATCAGGCCATTCCGCTGGAAGTCCTTTCCCCTGCTGTCCAGTTCAAACCCCAAAAAACTGAGATACACCAAGTTGCCATCGGGAAGCAGCAGGCTTCATAAATCTGCCAGTCACTCCAGCATTCTGGATCTCCCCAAGCCACGACCGGAGCTCCACGGCCGAAACCATAGTGGCATGCCTACCAACTGGTGCGTAGGCGTGGGACTGCATGTGCATGTTGATTGCATAGATATTACCCTAAGAATCAAGGACCCTCAAAGGTGAAGGTTTTGAGGGTCCAAACCCCTGCTATGCAGGGTCCCAACCCTCCATAGGAGGGTCCCATGATTCTTAGGGTAAAGAGTTTGGCTGTTGCGGCTCTTGCACCCTAACATACCGTAAACAACATCCCAGTAGAAAAGATCTCGGAGCAAAGCTGTTGCGACCTATGGTGGCACAAAAGATTAATCCAAAGTACTAACTTATGGGTATGGGATAGTGGACCCATAGCAAAGTGCAACAGGGGCCGAGCTTGGTTCCCAGCTGGTGGATGACGATTTATCCAGCATTACTCCAACACATTCCATATTCCAGCCGGGTCTGATTTGCTTGTCTGCTTAAAAATGTCAAAAGCCGCCTGACCGACCTACTTTGCATTTCAGAAAGCCGGTGAAGTCCTACGTTTTAGATGATTTGAGATCATTTGACGATTATCCAAACATCCAGGAAAAAACACACACACACAGACGCCACCGTGCCCGGGCGGATGAGTGAGACTCTGAGAGAACGTCGAGTCCGAATCACGAGGCTCGATCACGAGCCTTGTCCTCTATATCTCCCAAATACTCCACGTATGCCATATATGCATACATTGGTTTTGTTTTCGGGGTCAATGTAAGCATACATGGCATACATGGAGTGTCTGGGTATTGTGATCAATCACATGAGATGATATGAGATTATCGACATAGTAACGATTATGATATGACATGATAGATGGTATGACAATGTCATCATATGACATAGTATGAGATTATCATCAAATAAAATAGAAACACATGCGTGATTGAAACATATAGTTATTAATATATCATTTTTGATTGACTACACATATGTGTATCATGTGTATACATATATATATATAAGTACAGCCTATATATTATATACTAGTATATATATATATATGTATATGTATATCCCCCCGACCTGGGCCACCAGGAGTGTCCCTGTGATGCGCATGCCCCATGGCGTTTTGGAACAGGCCGCTGTGCTGGGCACATGGCCAGTATATAATTCATTACTAGTAGCTTCTTGTTACTAGTAGGAGTGGCCTCCAATCTAATAGCGATGGCCACCTAGTAGCTGCTTGCTACTAGTAGCTTCTTGTTACGTTCGTAGCGATGGCCGCAGTGATGGCCTCCACCGAGCATTGCGTCACTTCTCGCTACGAACTCCCTGCTTCAGCTCTTCTTTTGGGCCACACGTGAACATGTTTGTGCTAAAGAAAAAGGGCCGCGAAACGCACGTGGATCTGTCCGACCCCAACGGACGCCTCACGTCGACCCACCGGTGAAACGCTCCGGACGGAAAGGTGCGGTTCCGGTCGCTGCCCGGCGGAGTTCGGCTGGGCGTGGCGAAGGGGTTTCTGTCTGTCATGAAGTCTGGAGTTCGACACCTCTGAAAACGAAGCATGCACTCTGTTGAACGAGAAAACTAGGAATTTGGCCAGCAAGCACCTGGAACCAATTCATATTTATATGGTTCACCTGTGAACATGTCTCAGACTGGGTGACTTGACGCTTCCTATCACTGGATGGAGGTGAAGTAAGCTGCGGTGTCACCTGAGCGACCCCAAAGGTGTGGAGCACCAACTGTCACCAATTTGGTTTTCTCACTTATATTATACAGTTGATGGAGAAAACTGCATATGTTAGAAAATAATAGTAAATATATATATATATGGTTTTCTCACTGGTTTTCTCAACAGTATATGTATATACACATTTCTGTTCATCTTCTCCTTATATATACTGTTGATGGATGAGATCCTGACCCACCGTTTATGCATGTTTATGCCCATCACTACGGGGGCCATCTTACGTCCATGAAAAAGGTTGCATGGTTTTTCGAGCTTTCACCGAGCTGCCGGTGAAGATGGTCCATTCATCTGGGCATCACTACGGCTACGGGGGCCCATGATGGGATGGTCCATGATGGGATGGCCATGCTGTTCGGGATGAGCTTCCTCTTCCAAACACCCGGTTCGGGGCCGCCAAACAACGCTGTGCTCCTGCGCCCACAGAGCTGCTCCACGCAGGTCTGGCGGGCAGGGAACTTGGAGTTTCTGACGTAGATGACGTGAGTACATGAGTCGAAAAGGAAACCCAACCAACCGTTTTTCAAACCACCCACTTTGGCAGGGACCATCCACTTCACGGTAGAACATTAATGCATGAATGCTTCGCTTTTCGCTGCTAGGTCCCTAGGAGTCAATGATTCTGCTTGAGCCATGCACACGCATTCCTTTTCCGGAAAACGATTGAGCTCATGGATGCCTTGGGAGTTGAAGATCATTGCCAGGGACCTGGATGACCACGAGCGACGTTTGAAGAAGCGACCCAAACAGGCGAAAGGAACGCGGCCTGCTGCCACTGAGCGAGGGGACGGACCAACACTGACACACACAGCTCCCACTGACCTCCTGAGAAGGTACTTCACGCCCAAGCAACTCATCCAAACTTATATGATCTATGAAATGATATGCATTCAAAGTAGCTTTACTGTAGCCACTGGATCAATACAACAACTGGACTATAGACTATGCGCACAAGTGGTTGTCTTGCGCCCATCACCACCAGCAACCGTGCGCCGCGTGTGCCCGACTAGGTGTTCCCGACGGCAGTTGAGGGAGAGCTGCACTGCAGAAATGCGAGTGGAAGAGCCTCTCCCGAAGGCTGAGCTGCGGGGCAAGTCAGGCCGCTTTCAGGTTCTTTGCGGCCATCCCCCCAAAAAAATGAATGGCTGAGCCTGTGCAATTCTCCGCAATTAGACTTGCAAAGGGGTCGATTCCATGATATATATTTCCAGGACCTACCTCCACACGGTTCAATGCTTCATCCAGCATGGGAAAGGATGATTTCAGAGGTGCTGCTCGACGGATTTGTGGAGCAGCCCGTTGCAAAGGTCACGACCATCGGTCACTTACCCCACCCAAATCTATGTTGTGCATATATGTATAGTATACACATATATAAATATGATATAGGAATATCTTGGACAGGATTGAACAATCTGAAATGTACATAGCATAGCCTGATCAAGTCCAAACACACTGAAATTGCAAGGGTGCTAGTGGCGGTGCTTGCGACAGGGTCCTTCATTTTTGGGATGAAAAGCAGTGAACCGCCCTAGGAGGTCGGTGATTCAGGGCAACGTGATGTCGAGACTTTGGTGATGTCGCCCTCCTGAAGACCTGGAGGCTTTTCCGAGGTCGGGGAACCCTCAAAGCTCTCATCCTGGAACTAAGCTTGCAAAAGTCCCACCTCCAACCTTCAAGTGAACGATCATGGTCCATCCATCGATCCCTCTATCATGGACCTCCTCACCCCAGGAAGCACCAGGAAGCATCCACACCTCCATTCTCTTGGTCTGCCAAGTCCTGCCAATCAATTCTGCAAATGGATGAAACAACATGTATCTTTACCAGGGAAAGGCTCTGGTACAATCGGTCCTATTCACTTGATGTTGGTTGTCTGCACAAAGCGAGTATACTTAATTGACTATAGGTAATCCTGGACTCACAGTGTGGGGGATCTTAAAAGGTCCTAAACAAAAGAATCAGGGGGTTCCACTTTGGAAACTTGGGTCAGTGCATGTCATCGCCATCCCTGTGCAAAGAGCCAAGAGTGCAAACAACGTCAACCAAACAAATCCAACACCTGTGAGGCAATAGAGCCAAATAGAGGCGATATCTGATTTAAATAAAACAACATTCGTCAACAAAGCCACACCATAGGCGCCATACGGAAACCGGGAGAATGACATTCAAATTTGTTTGTGCTATGGTTGACGTTGAACTCAACCCCGCCCAAAGGTCTTGTGCCCAAAACATGGACCCCGTGAAGGTGGGAAGAGTATCTGAGCTGAGGAAAGCTGCTCCATCAACAAAGCATTCTGGGCCCAGGGTCATTGTCCAATCACTGCACAGCAGTGGTGCCCGGAAAACACGGGTTTCAACAAAGACTTCCAAACATACGCTGAAAGTGACGTTCTATGACATACGGTCACTTGACCTGCTGATCCCCTGAGCATCTGGCCAAAAATCCCGCCGATATCCGCGGATCAAACCAAAAAACGATCAATCGTCCATTTGAACTCCCACTGTTCCGGCCACCTCCCTCAGGTGCCGGGCATCTCCTCAGTCACTCGCACACTGATGCCCTGCACGGTGCCAGCGAAGCCCCACCTCAGCTGAGTTTCGCTGTGACGGCGCTGGGACCTTCCGAGCGCTCCAACTAACAGACTGCTGATGAAAAAACAAAAACCAACCATCTGAATCATACGAAGAGGTTATCCAATTGGGAGGTTCTATAGATTCTATTCCACCATCGCACACGAGATCTGAGACGTGCGCTACCTAAACCCTCTCTGGAGTTTGCCCAACGGGGTGAAGCACCGAAAGAACGGAGTCTCTGCACTGCAGGGACAACAACGCAGACCCCTCGGTCTTTGGAGCATCGGCTTTTGGACACCCGTGCAGTGGAGCCCTCCAATTCCCAGCAGCGGCCAAAAACAAGTTCAAGAGTTCCCGGAGATCTCTGGTAGAAAATGAAAGTTCAGATCTTTTTCATATCAAGAGTTCAATATAGTTCAATTATATACCTAGAGGAGTTTGGCAGAAAATGATAGTTCAAACGTTGCAGCCGGACCTTGACATGCGCTGTGGACGGGCCCTCGTGGAAGTGCTGAAGTGAGGAACGACACGGGTCTCCATCAGTATGCAGGTGACGGAACAAGTTCCAGAGTCCAAAGAATCAAGAGTAACCGGTTCCTTAGAGAGCAAACCCCCAGTCCACCAAAACATTGCCAAAACGAGAAACATGTTGAAACACAATGTTAAAACATAAACTAGACCTATTAATGCATTTCTTAAAACATATTATTACTCATATTATATCATAAAACATATATATATATATGATGAAGCCTACATGAAGGGAGAAAGGGGGTCAGCAAAAATCATTTACACGAAGTTAGTGCATCAAGAATACCGTCCACAAAGTTTTGCGAAGGTTTCTTGGATTTTGCTGCAGTCAGTTCTCCTACTGGCCCACCATTCCACGAAATGTCCACGAATAGTCCCGTGTTCTACGAATGTCCCGCGCCTTCCACGATGTTATGAATAGGTCTTTGCAAAACTCTTTCTGTGCACTACCCTTTCTAAAACTATCTGGACCATCCAGCAAAACATCACCCGAACAAAAAAAACCGCCGGGCTGACAACTGCGCCTGCGTTTTTGCTTTTTTTGGGTCGTCAACCTTCAACCAGTGGGTTCAAAAACCTCTCAAGACCTGCGTTTCTGCACATTCGACTAACAAAAATCAAGTCTTGCACGTCTCATTTCCAATGGTCTTCAAGCAAAATTTGCGCTTGACTGACGGTAGCGAGGTGCACATTTTCTCACAAGCGCACCCATGAAATTTGCACTTTTTGGGGGGGCTTTGAAGGCATTTTGTTATTTCGCTACAGCGAAACACAAATTCGAAAAACTCCAGCCAAGCGTTGCGTTTGGACCATTTTCTCGTCAGCGTCGAAGGATGTTTGAAACGGTGCTTCCTGTACACAGCATCAAATCTTTACTTGTGTTTTCCCACCTCCAACAGTACCTTTGGACACTCTTGAAGATTTGGGGGTTGACTTCACCATTGGACATGAGTGTGTGTGCATGGATGTGGGAATTGCCATCTTCGCGCGAGCCCAAAACCCATCTATGGAACCCGTGTTGACATCCAGTGACGGCTGTGGCCCCCTTCTCTTGACAACATTAAACTCTCCCTGGCTGTGGTTGCATAACAAGATGTACACTAGGCAAACAGCACCGCAACCACTTAGGGCCATGCTGCCAGGGCCTGTTCTTAGAAAATAACTTGAACAGCGACAGGAGCAACACAAGATGTATGTTGTAAAAAAGCCGAAGACTTTCGACATCGCGGACTGTCATTGACCCCCCACCCCCCCCTACGAACCCCAGTCCCAAAGGTCCAAAATGCACCTTAAAAGCATGTCCAGAGTCTCGATGAGAGCTCAGCTTTAAACATTAGATGTAGAAAACCATATTTAACCTTCCCGAAAAAATAAAAGTAGCGTAGCAATCGGACACACAAGCTAATTTCAGCCAAACATGCACAACGGCGACATAAACATATAAGATCTTGCCACGGAGGAAACATGAGAAACACTGCTATTTACAGTAAAATGAAAGGTTTTCCACATGATCGTTGCTTTGATAAAAAAAGTGCACGACTACTAGCGCGGTTCTCAGCCCGCTAGCAAAAACAGACACATTACTAAAACATCCCCCTTGATTGTTCATAAGCGGGTCGTTTTTTTGATAAACCATTTGTGCTGGTAAAGTGTGAGGGATAGGTGCTTTGGTTTATAAAATGAATAACCAACTAGTTTACACAATATTATAACATGACCTGCATTGGTCATGATAGGCTAAGATCTACATCCAGAAGAGGCAATTTATGAAATGAGAATTGATTCGGGAATTCTGACCAGCCTCCGACACCTTGCCAAGTGAATTCGTTTAAAAAGAGACTTGTGGGTTCAACTGCCATCTATTACTGTCACTCACTCTCCAAGATACTGAAGGTAATGAAATGACCTGTGTTTTCATTCATGGGGGATACCAAAACACGCATACTCTCACAGCTTGCCCATCAGTGATCAGTGGACACCTCCGGTCGACCGCATCGCGAGCGCTCAACCGAAGCGCCGCCGCTGCGAGCTGTCGGAGCTTGGAGGCGACGGTCGCTCCTGGTTGGTGGTTTCGACGAAGCAGAACGGAACAGATCGAAACCCTTACGGGTCTACCACAGAAATATTGGCGCCACCCGGTTGCTTGTAAAAGGAAACTGGTAAACATCGAAACCTATAAACACCAAAACCATCCAAAACCCGATATCGCCGATGTCCTGGGGATTCACCAAGACGGATCAGCAAAAACCATCCCATAAGAAGTATGCACCCTCCTTTTTGGCCATCCACCTCCTTGCTGTCGACTCCGCCCTGCAAAGTCCTGCAGCTGCTGAAGCTCTGCAAGGATCGAAAGCGCCTGGCTGGAACACAAACCTCGAAGAAGTTCTTGGTCCTGATGCAAAACCATCCCCAAAGCAGCAGAACCATCCCTAACTAGGTTTACAGACTATATAGATGATATGTTTATACAATTGCATGGAACCGTAAATGTCCAAACCATCACCCAGGAACTCCGGTGATCCTGGGAACCGGCAGAATCCCGCAAGGTATTTTGTTGAATCTGCGTTCCTTCCGCAATTTGAGAAGATTTGCAGTCAAACACCCCAACTCACCTGGACTTGGAACACTCCCGTGCATTCGGCCAATCTGAAATTTACAATCATAAATCATACCCGAGAGTGGAGAGTCCGTCTGACCCTCATATGCTTCTCAGGCTTCTTGGGTGTTTCTCCCAGAAGTTCTTGCTTCAGTTGCGCAACCCCTGCACTGAGCGGGCGAACGCCCGGTGCATTGCTTTTCTCTCTGCACTCGGCGCTCGGCTCTGCTCAATGCCTGAGGCTCTGGGACCGAGGAAGAGGACATACCGGATGCAGGTAGGACCGAAAGACTGGTAATAGTGGGCGAACATCTATGGTCAAATGCTTCAGCTTCGGGGTGCTTCACAGCTTGTCTTCAAAACAAAAATGTCTAGACTCCATCTTTGGAAACTATGGGCACCCTGAGACCTACACTTGGACTTACCTCTCATGTAGTGGAAAACATCCTGCTGGCTATCATTCGGAACATCGTCTTCACAATGTCACCACGCCACCCGTTTCGGACGTGAGTGAGATTTTGCAGATGAGCATTAGTGCGCTGGTCACTCGTGCTGGTCATATGATGGGGAACTATTAGTGCAGCCCTGATTGGGCACCTGCAAAAGCAAAAGAAAGGAGGCCCAATGGCCTGCATGGCTTAGTCTTCGCCAAAGCCCAAGCCAATGACAGGGTGTTACGAAACAGAATGAACCGAGAACTCAGCGTCTCCCCACCCATCCTCTCCAAGCTGCGCTCCTTTCTCAGTCATATATAGACTGGTAAACTGGGGGGACAAGGCCCACGGATCTGTGTAGCACAGATCGCCAACATGGCCAAGACAGAACATCAGTAATGGAGGGCAATAAGACCCCCCTAGTTTTAGGGAGGCGGGCGGCGGGCGGGGCAAAATCCAGCAACCGCAGTGCCAACACTGGATAACCAGTCACATCACAGAAGTGCACTGCGGTCTCAAGCAAAACATGCATGTTGTCCAAAACAAGATGCATGAACAAAGAAGGATCCAAATCTCCTATTCAAAATAAGAATGCGGACACAACCTGAGCCCAAACAAGCAAAGGACCGAAGTCAAGAAGGTGCCCAGAGGCCCAGAAATTCACCAACCCACCAAGAACAAGGAGGAAAACAAAGCAAGTGACACTAAACCCCGGTCTAAACATCTTCAGACCTGGGGACCGTTCTCAACACAGGTGTCTACAATAAAGCAACATCAACAAGTTGCGGTAAGCATAATATGTACAGACTGTACAGAACACCGCTGAGGTTTCTTCAACAAAGGATGGCTTTCCAAGTCAAGTGGGTTCCTTTGCTCCAGGCTCGTAGAAGTGAAACATTAAGTTTTCAAGAACCAGCAACACTCCATGGGACTGGAATATATGCCTACACTGACCCCTGAAACCACCCCAATGTAGGTAAATATATGTAAATATGTCATACATGGAGTGTCTGGGCATGGATCCATCTTGCGGATCCGCGCCAGTGGAGTCGCTACAGTAACTGGGCCGCTGCGCCCGATGCTACAACCCACGACTCCTCGTAGCGAGCCTTCGGTCCAACTTCGGGAACCTATTGGTCCAACTGATGGAACCTTCTGTAGTCCAAATATAGGTTTATCAAACGGTGTTTGCTAGCCAGCCCCCATCTTCAGCAAGTCCAAGGGCGCGAAGATCTGAACAAAAAAAACAAACTTGTTGGTTCCCAGCTGCTCATTGGCAATCTCCTGCAGCAATCGCTTCGTCAAGCGCACTTGCGCGTCGCTCCCAGTGAGGAAGACACGGCAGGGGGCACCTGGGGAGAGGGAGCGACACCGCATGAACGATTTGGACAACCACTACACTCCCGAAAACTAACATAGACCCTGACAATGGCCCCCTGGAAGAGTGTTTTCCTCTACCAACCAGTGTTTTTCAGGGTCCATGTTACTCTTCCAGGGTGTATTGTAAGGAAAGAAATGCCAACAAGCCTCCGACACTGCACCGCCTTTGCAAACGCGTTTTCGACGTTTCAGTACTCGTTGTTTTTTCACTATCTGTTTGAACTGCCGAAAACAAATACATTCAAGTTAGGCAGCACCTTCAGGGGGCTCTACTTGGGAAAGAAAATGGTCCGGCCCTCTCTGAGTGACCCCGTAAGGGTCCATACTGGAGTCTTTCTCCATCATGTTTGAAGAGCCCAGCAAGTCTTGTCCAGCAAGTCTCGCATCATGGATTCCGCATCCATAGTCCTTCAGATCATTCCTTGTGGGATTTCTACTGCACCTTCGGCTCCTGTCGTCCCAATCCATCCGCCGCCGATGGACGACTGTGGTAATCAATGTTCAAATAAGGGGCGGCTGTAGTCAACATCGATCTTCACCTAGGTAAGTGCAAAGAACATCAACCAGACCTCCCTGGGGGGAGGACATCAAGTAGTTCCACTGGGTGAACTGGGACAACACGACTGCTAGGATGTTCCCGGCCCTCACATCTTCTCATGAAGCCAAGAACTAAAAGGCGGGTCTGGATCTTAAAAAAGGCCAAGGTCATCTTCGAACTCCCCGTGCTTCACAGTGTAACGGTGGTTAGATGGTTAGATATGGTTACAGTCTTAGGTGTAACCTTGTGCAGGGCGGGACGCTTTCAAAGCCCCCTTCCGGTGTCAAAGGTTGAGGAAAACCTTGAGCTGGGTGGGGTTGAACCAGCTCACTGTCGGACCTACAGGGCCCAAAAACATCCAAAAACGACTTATTGATGATTAGACAACACTGTTTCTTTTCTTTCCCCCAAGTCTAGGCGTTTCTTCAATCATAATTTCCTTAGAGCACAGGTTCTTTCTTTTTCGCATTGCCAGCGCAGGAGCCTTGCCTTGTGACATGATTTGTCAAAGCATGGGGCCTAGGTCGGGGCCAAAAGTGTTCAAGTGCCATGAGAGCAAGAGTTAAAAGCTCTGGAATCGGGCAATCGATGTCCTCCCCCAATGGCGCAGGCAACGCCTGACGAATCCAGGTAGCTTGTTGTCGGGTTTTTCGGGCGACGAACTTCAAGGCCAGCCAGTTGAACATGAATCGAACTCAGGCGCACATCTTGAACTGGTTGTGATCTGTTCTATATCTCTTCACTTCTCGCTCTGGCAAACATGGACAAACATAGGGGCCTCTTCGCCACGAGGCCTGTATCTTTTTCCGGCATTGGCACACTTCCAATGTCCACTGAGGAAGAGGGTCGTGCGCCAGGTCCATGTTGCCGAAGATCTTGATCGTGCCGTGTGGCACATGCACGGACGGTGTCTCCAGGCGTTTTTCTTCCACACCTTCAAACACCCCAAACACCTCCCCACCTCCCCTCCAACCAGCGGTCAACATGGCGATCCACAAGGCGATCCACAAGGATGGTATAGGTGACCAGCACTGCCTTGGCCGAGTTGAAACTCTTCGCAGCTTGCTTTCTTTTCTCCGGCAGCCCGGCCATGGTCGGTCTGGCGGCCACTGTGGGTCTGGCGGCCACGCTGTCCCGTAGCAAGTAAGCCGCCTTCTCAGGCTTTTCCGCCATGCTGACACCCTCAGTTTCCTTTGAAAATACATGTTAACCTTCTCCACCTGCTCCTTTTTGTGAAAGTGACTGTAGTGGGGAAACCAATACCCAGAAACGACGTCAAAGCTTATCCACTGGGTACCAGTACGTCACACTCAGGATCTTGATGTCAAACAAAACGCCCTTGCGCATCTGCTTCAAACGAGTTCCGCCGTGCCACCGAGAGCACTGGCTTCGGACTGTGACATCCACTGGTCTGGCGGCGCCAGAAGCCGTCCCCATGAGGGAGTCCTGCCATAATGCTTGCTCCTCTCATAGGTGGGCCTGCAAAAATGCCTCTGAAAGTCAGTCTCTGAGCTGCAACTGTCGCACTCCGCATCCCATCGTTTGTTCAGCCCCGGTCCTCTGACCCGGACTCGCATCCCTCACGTCCGCCACGCCGCCACGCCCACACCACCTCCCCTCGCGACCTCCTCCGAGTGGCGCCGGTCTGGCGCTCGATTTCCAGGACGCGGGCGCCTTTGGTACCTGAGCGAGGGGTCGGCAGCGGCTGAGCGAGGGCCGGCGGCGGTCCCCGGAGGAATCGACGGAAGGTGAGACTGAAGGTCGCTATAGTGTCGATTAACTGCACGACCAGCCAGAAAAACGACATGAATAAATACAATCATGAATACAAAATACAAAACGTCCTTCTAGTTGAGAATGCTCATGTTCAACATGCCTCAAAGTGCTTTAAGTACACAAACCTTTTGAACGCCTTGTCTGCTTCGGCTCTAAATGTCTTAAGATGTGTCAACTGCTCAAATAACAGGTAAACCTTGGCTCTCCGATCTCGTCTCAGGAACTGCGAGGGTTTTTTTGGAAGTGAATACTGAAGGACTACCAGCCAGCCAGGCAAAACACTCCTGACCAGCTCACTGCTGAACATGTAACCTTCTCTTCATCTTCTTGATGGTGCACGAAGGGTATCTTGATGGGCATTACTTGGAGAGATGATAGAGATGCGAGTTGTTTTTTGTCCCATGCATGAGCGTCTCATCTCCCATGCACAGCTTACTCGCACATCGATGCGGACCGGTGCATCGCGTGCGCGCGCGCGCGCCAGCGCCACATCCCATTGCTCCGGTCCGAGCGTCCGATGACTTTGCCAATCTGCCCCTGCGAGATGTCCACGTATTGCTGCCCCGCATATCTCTCGGACATGGGTCTGGACCTGTCTGCCGGCACGCCAGGCGCGGAACACATCGGGGCGGGAACGGCGGAAGCATGTGGAGTCCTTGTTAGAGGTGTTGAGAGTCCATCAGCGGTGACTGAAACGCCGAGATCAGGAGTGCTGAGGTGCAAAACGTAAAGGTGTGGTGGTCTGGTTGTCCTACCATGCAGGATTTTGGCGTGGGGACCAGCTTTCTGAAGTGGTTCGTGCTCTACCCTGGCCTTTGCTCAGCCAACTCTTTACATCCCTTCGCCTTTGCTCATCCGTTCTCTGCGGATTTCCTCATGCCACCCTGAAGGCCCCCCAAGCCAGTCTTGGAATGAAGCTCCCACAAAGTCTTGAGCCCAGCGACAGCTCGCGTATGAGTTCCTTGGCTTTTTGCACCTCAGCACTCAGGCCAGGGACCGAACACATGGACTCCAGTTCCATGTCTTGATTCAAATGGAACCAGGGACCGAAGACATGCACTCCATTGTCTTTTATTAGTTCATGTCTTTATAATATTTTATAATGAACATTCATTTGATAAAAGTCCATGCATGTACATTGTAGGTCCACAAACCGTCTGCGTGGAGCCGCTGGCATGTCAACTAATTCCTGGGTTTCCAAAACGATTGGAACCACGGTGCTTCGTTTCGGCTTGCAGTCTCAAATATTAAGAATGCAACTTTCAAAGGGTGCTTCGTCCAAACTCTGTGCATGCAGTGGCTCTGCTAAAGGATTTGTGCTTTGGCTCTTGCTGGTGCAGCCAGTTCTTTAGTCTCAGCAAGCTGGAGCTTCTTTACCATCCATGACTGGTGCGAGGGTGGATGGGTGCCAATGGCCTTTCCTGCAGGGGAAGTAGAATTCAAACAGTCGAAAGAAGCATCCACTCCTCTTTGAATGGCCATGTATCCATGCATTGGCTCGGCTGAAGCCCGTGCAAGGTTCTTTTCTGCGGGAAGTTGGTCGCCAGCCCCACGTTCACCCGGCACCCGGCTACCTCTCAGAGGTCAAGCCACGGCCTCAGGAGGGCCTTCAATCTTCACTTGGCAAGGATCCTCCTCCTGGTCCTGAGGTCGGTTGGTCTTAGATGGGACCGACCACGGATGACCAAACTGCTCAACCAGCAACACGTGAAGAATGCAGCGACGGGTGAAGAAGAGGACGAGCGACTCAAGCACAGAAACACGAGGGCAACGGTCACTCAGTTGGGTGTATTGTGTATTGTAGAGGTGGCAAAGTCCATGAGATGGGTGCGAAGATTCCGCCCATCCGAAGACCAACGGAGTGGCGCAAGCATGTATAACAACGAAGTCACCATAAGAATTTGCCTGACCCCTTCTTTGCTGAGTCCAACCTCCTTCCAATATATCTTCCAATCTTCTCGCTCAAACCTCCAATGTTTGGACGACCTGTCGAACATCCCAAATACTCCTAGACCTCGGATTGCCGCTCAAAACACGCGCGTCCGCGGCGCCGCGGCCTTTTCTGTGGTGCCAAGTGTCCCGGGCATCCACCTTCCAAGCACCGCTCTTGGACCGCACCTCGTGCTCGTCGAGCGCGAGCGCGCGGAGTCGCTCGGACGAGCCGTCCAGGATAGCTTTCAGGGCCAAATGGTGGGCTGTTGGTGGTGGAATCCTGGTCCATCCCTACGCCCAGTCTGCCCTTGGTGGGCTTATCAAGTGACAGTAAGATGAAATGATCATGTATCCGGACCATGCCCAAGTCATGAATATGTCAGACCTTGATTTTGGTCTGTCCAACCACCGCATGTGATTGGATTCCCACTGCCCCTCGGTTCAAACGCCCGACCCGGCCTCTGCAATGGTCCTGCCACGTTTGCCGATCACCCGGGCGATCTCTGAGCGGGGCACCTCGACCACCTCCTGCCACGCCACGCAACGCGGATCCGAGCGGATTGATCGAGAGGATGTGGGATGACCTGATGGAATTTCACCTTCAGAGACTGGTGGGCGCTTTATCTGGTGGGACTGGTGGAGTAGATGGCGCAACGCCGGTTGTGAGGAAGGCTCAGTAGATGGCTCAACTCAATATTCCAGGGCCACTTACTTTCCAAAGAGAGTAAACATATATAGTATCTGGCCATGTTTGGCCTGAGAACAACATCGACCGTGTTCAGGAGACGCCACGGAACCCATGTCTCTGCCACTCCTCAATGCCACCATCAAGGAATGTTGACACGGACGCAGGCGCTTCCGTGGGTGCAGAACTAGCAGCCGCTGCTAGTACATGGGGGAAACCTTGGCGTCCGAGCGTTTTGGTGGCAGCTCGCTCTTGGATGCTGGCCTTTTGTGATATGTTGCCCATGGTGCACTCCATTCTTGTATAGAGCCTAGACACATCAACCACAACCTACCGTGCAGAACACCAAGATCAACAAGTCTGTGCATTCAAACACATTGTGCGATCATATGCCATCATGCTGTGTCATTGCCATGAAGCTGCCCCGTCGCTGCTTCCCGTGCCTATACTTGCTTCACTACTTGCTTCATATGTTCACCTGATTCACTGGATGTCTCAAGAGAATCTTCCAATCAAAATGGCAAAAACAACCACCCAAAACATCCCAAACAACAAACTACCTTCAACTCATTCATTTTCCCTGACGTGTCCAGTGCCTGCAGTTGGACGGCTATAGCTATAGGCCTGAGCCCATTGGCTATATGCCACCGTCGCCCAGTAGCCTTGGGTAGCAGAGTTGGGAGCATCTGAGGGACGATAAACAATAACAAAGCATATATGTTTATATGATCAGTTACATTTCTCCAGGTCCCCCTCCATTTTGTTAAGTTAAAAGGGGTAGGGACCTTATATGTATACACTTACTGTACGCTCCTTGAAGTAAAGATGGAAGTGGAAAACCACCTGTTTGGATCCTGTTTGATATTCGGGAGATATATGAAGGTATGGTTATCCGAACTCAGGCTATGCTATCCACTTCCGTGATGATTTCAGGGAGTGTACAGTAAATGAGCTAGTTAGTTCCTGAGTCAGAAAAACACCTTGGACTTCGCAAAGAACTAAGAACCACGTGGTGCAAATAAAAAAACTCAACATGAATCGAAGCACGATGACTATCTGCGTTCGCTAAGACTATCATCCACCCACAGGGATGCTCCTGATCCAAACTCTAAATGACTCTAAATCCTATGTACATCGTAGAGGCTGATTCCGACCTCTGACTTATTCCGACGATCAGTGCATCGGAACTTAGTGAATGAACAAGCTATCAGCATCTATCAGCCATGCCAGGCCACCTGCCCATGCGTTCGCATGGAAGCCCTGCACATGTGCAGCTTCCTCTCTTTCCTCACTGGAGTCTGAGCTGGAGCTGCTTCTCTTCTTGGCCTGGATGGACTGTGACTAGGTAACTAAGTTTGAGTGTTCTCCATAATCTGAAGACGTTTCACGAAACTCCAGTGGGGGGATATGATAGAATCAGCAGTCAACATTCGATTGGATGGATGTCAACCAATGAAACACCGAACACCCGGTCTCTTCAACCGCTGCCCTGGACCGCATATCGCCCAACGAACACGGGCGCGCTTGGCGCGCCCGAGCAACAGGTAGGTGTAGTGGATATTTGGGCATTGGTTGATCTGCCCTCTCTATCTTTTTCACCCCTTGGGATCCATGACATATCTTCCATGATCAGGGTGTGCTGATTGGATGAAAAAAGGCTGTGGCTGGCCATCTGTTCATTCTGACTCTGCATGATCCGCATGCCATGCCTTGGCTGCCATGTTTATTCATGTATTTGACATTATATAAGCGGAAATGATGCCTGTGGAAACTGAACGGAAGGTGAAGAGCGGGATGTCGTAGGGCGTCCCGACTACGAACCACGATACATGTGTTTTGCAAAGCCGTAAAAAACATTTTATATAATTAATACACTCAGCAAAATTGTGAACTATATAATATTGAAACATATTAATATTCACCTACCTCATTCACTACCCGCCTTCTTGGCCTTCTTCGCCTTTTTTCTCCGCTTCGGAGAGCGTTCTGCCGGCTGCACCGCGCGGCGGGGCATGGCGCATGGCCACGGTCGTTCCGCTGCTTCGTGTCTGTGCTTGGTGCCTCCAGCAGGTAGAAACCAATCCCCTTTTTAGATCAAATTCTGCTGCGAATCCTATTGGGTCGTGTTTGGGAAGGCTTCCTGTATACTATATATGCGCTGTTCTACCATCGTCCCCAGGCGCTCTGACAGCCAACCCCCTCGTCCTGCAATTGCGACACAGATCCCCTCGATGTCTTCCGACGTCAGCGACTCCAGGCGACCTGTGGGGCCTGTAGTTATATATTTAGACATGTTGTTCAACACACCATATATGTGGTCACCATGTGGTCACCCACATCGCGCTGGAAAAAGTCCAGCCCCGCGGATTCCTAAAGTTCATGGGCGCCTGTGCGGATTCACCTCCATGAAGTATGTTCAGTTCTGAAGCTTAGTCTGAAGGAACCAAGTTGATCTTATTTATATTAACCAACAAATACGTTTTAAGGCAACTCTCACAACTGTTTGAGTTTCTTGAGCGTTAAGCTGCCTGCGATGGTCAAGCAAAAACAAGTAAACCACCTCACACGGGATGTAGGGCATCCCATTCAAAGTCGCTCTGGCTGCTGGCTTCCTCGAATTTCTGGCCCCCGCCCCTTCCCCCATGTTTGCTCACCTTATTCACACAAACAACCAATCATCTGCTGATCAAGGCATTGGCACAAAAGTGATTGGCCGGCTTTGAGGCCATGGCAAATCATTGCAAATCACCAACAGTCACCACAGGACCAATGAAGTCCAATATCTGACTAGTCCCTCATAATTAGTACATGACCGGCCGGCGCACTTGATGTTCTTTGACAGGTTGTTGGGTTCATATTACCCCATGTTCAGTCCGCTTTGCCAGAAACGCCCACCAACTCCTTTTCATCCGGAGCGTTCCGTCGTCGGCTCCCCCGCCCGTCTTTGCGGCGCGCGCCAGCGCGACTCGGACGCAGTTCACACGGACCGACTCCTTGGTGGTGCTCGTTTTGGTCCCTGTTTTTCCAAAACGAGGCCAGGGTTGGCACAAGAACGTCCAGCAACTGTTCGAACCAATTGCTTATATAAGTATAGCGTGCTACGGCAGTGCTGAATGGATACAAAAAATAGCGTATATGCATTCTGAATTCTCGGTGGCAAACTCATTACGTTGTTTCCAGGGCGTCATGAAAAGCACAGCCAGCTCTTGCACACTTCCCATGATGTTTCGCTAGCCGCTAGCTAGCTATTTATTGGCAATACGGCCATTTCTTGGCCGCAAGGGCATACCAAACCCATAATGCCGAACGGCCTCAATTCAAGAAATGCACCCCAAACTGCCCCAAACGGCGGCTTTGTACATTTCGACTGTGGCCTACGGGGTCCACATAGCTTGTGACTGCATGCAGTTTGGTCAATGGAGTCTTCAAACAAAATCAGTCGCGTGAGCCTTAGTAAGCCTCATCCAACATATCCAAGCCTCATCCAAAACATCTGTTCTAGATCATCTAGTAACAAGAAGCTACGCACGGTGAAGGCCATCGCTGTTAGGTTGGAGGCCATTACTACTAGTAAGAAGCTACTAGTATAACAAGTAAACTCTAGCCCTCCCCTCCAAGAAAATCCTCATGCTCTTGCTCCATGTCCTGCCAAGTGCCCAAAGAGTGCGGAACAAACGCAAATGAGCCGGATTCTGCAGGTGACTCATGACCTTCTTGAGATCCCTTTTTTTGAGGCCATGCACTTAACCCTTCTATCACTTAGACCCTAAAAGGACTAAAAAGGGTACTCCATCTTGCACAAACTCTCCACCCGTAGCCATGGAGCCATTTCTTCCAGCAGCGGCTCCGATGCATCGCTATCTCCCTCAGCCACCGTAGATCTCGTTCCTGAGCGCGGCCGCTGCGGCACCGGCAAACACCCAGACTTGTTCGTGAAGGTGACCGTGTTGGATACACACCGCATGCGCAGGTTCGGCCAGGTTCGGGACTGCACACAGCATGCGAAGCGCATGGATTCCTCGATGTAGGTGATTTAGTGGGTGTGTATGGGTGTCGTCCAGCGTGATCAGTCATGTAAGCAAAGTGCAAGCCCGTACAAGCCCATCCAACCCAACCCCACCCATAGCAGCTCATCCAAAGCACAGTTTAGTTTCTTTCCAAGTGTATGCTTTGTCACTAAGGATCCTGCAAGGATCCTAAAGGACCTGAATCAAGTGACACCACCTGTTCCCAAAGCGACCGCCCTCCCAAGTAGAAGGAACCGAACGTGAAGTCAGTTGGCTCCTCCATTGATGCTGATGCTTACAGACCGGGTCCTCTTTCCGCTCCTGACCGATGTGCGGTGCTTCTGCGGTGCTTCTTTCAAGATGAGCATCTTGCAGCACACGATCAAGGGCGCCTTTGGGAGATCGAAGCCCAGCTTCAAGCCTCAGGTCGTGCCCGAGAACGCCTCATGGCGTCTGGCGTCTGGCTAAGCCATACATTTCCATGGAGTTGGGTTTTTTGGTAAATTAACATATTCTTTTAAAGGATACGTGTTCGATCGTTTTAGTCATTTAGCAACAAACAAGGTTGAGCAAAACACTGTTCGTAATAACATGTAATAACCAATAGTAACCCTATCGAACACTGCAATAGTTTTGGAATGGATCGATGCTAGTGTTGAGAGACACAACGACCTCAATCTTTAATCTGCAGATTCAGCCGTGGGCAGCTATATCTGGACCTAGTGGATTTGGTGGATTGGCGGTTTGTATATGAGAAGCCTCATTGGAGCGTCCTCGTCCATCGGCTACCAGCGACGAGTGGAGATTTGCGACCTGCCATTGGCACACGTTACGCTCTTCAATTGATTTTCAGCTGATGTCCAAAACAAGTTTTACCTCAAAGCAGGGGATGCCTTTGGACCATTCAAGTTTGGGCCGCTTTTTCCGTTTTCTGGTGGTTTGGGCCCATGATCCTCACATGCTGCACAGGCGGTACCTCTGGTTGTGCCGATCTTGGACGGTTCTTAGGACTCGGATGTCATCTCTAGTCTAGTGCCGAAGAGATTGTGGGGGAACTAGTGGTTCCAGACTGCTAAACTGAACTAGGGCCAACAGCAACACAAAATCAAGATATCACAAAATAGGGAAAAGGGTCCATCTTCATGAACTAGAAGCTTCCCTGCTTCAATGCTGCCTCAACAATTCAGTTGTGGCATTTTATCCTCCCAATTCTGCCAAACAATGAGTGAGTTCAAACTCCATCAACTACCTGAGGTGGCCTGATCCCTGGTTCCATGTGGCCATGCATGCGAGGCGCAAAAGATCTTGGCAGCACCTGAGCAGGCCACCTCCGGCTTGTACATGAAGCATCCTCCATTGGCTGCTGGACAACCATCACCTCAGCCAGTGCAGCGGTCCGACCATGTCATCCACCCCATTTGTAAGAAATTAAACTTATATATATATAACTCTATCTATCTATCTATCTATCTATATATTATATATATATATAAGTATACACCATATGCGTGGATGTGGAAAACCACCCGTTTGTAGAGGAATATTTATCTGGTCATCCAAGCTCTTGGCCCTGCCATCCACTTCGACCACCAAAGGAGTGAGACTTCGCACGGCGTCGCCGGATCGGATCCCATCGGGTTTCGGCTCCGTTTGTGCCCGTTGGCGCGGCCAGTTGGGCCCAGTTTCACCAAAGAACGGTGTCCACATTTACTTGAGTGGACAGAAATGATGCGCATGCCCGGACATCCCCCAATTCCAGGGATCACACGTGGATCCACTTCCGGGGTCCGAGATCCACTTCATCCGGCCAGCTGAGCAACCTTCATCACAGCCACAGAAGAGCTGACTCTGAATGCAACCTGGGTGGCCAAGCGGCAGCAGAAAGGCAGGTGAGGGACGTTCATTGGTGCAAAGAAGCACAATGGCAAATTGGCATCTCTCAAAACATGGAACCTCGACGTAGCAAAACCGCCTCCTAGCCTTTTACGAGTCTAACGCCGAGCATGCAGCATATCCCCAACACAAACAGACTTGGTTTTGGGTGGTTTTGGGGAATCTTGCCTAGCTCCCTGGCACAATGCCCCTAACTTGGATCGTTTAACAACCATGGGCCATGAATACTCAAAGAAGTCAAAGAGCACATGTTTCTTTCCAATCCAACACCGATACCGGTTAAATTCCGAGCTCAAAACATGCCACCTATATTCCACCTTTAAATATACATATATACACATAGCAATCTTCCAACACATTGAACCTTGATATATCTTATGCACAAGCTAGCAGCTAGCATCTGAACTAGCACTCTCCTTCACCTACACAAAACCTCCGCCCTCTTCGTGGCCCGTCCCGAGCAGCAAAAGTTGGTCTCTTCACCCACGATGACCTTCCCCGCAACGCTGCCGATGCCCGCAGTGACGCAGCAAAGCTTGGAGTACATGGAATCGTTCCAGGCGGGAGCGGCACCCTCGCCCAAACTCTGGTATCTCGGACGCGCACAGGCGGCGGAAACCACTAGAACGGCGAAGCTCGTCGGTGGGGTTCCGTGGCCGCAGTAATGGGTTTATAAGTGGCTTATATAACTATAGAGATGTCTATAGAGTTTCACAACTCCTCTTTTTTCTCTAGAGTCCACCTCAAGAACTCATAGTAACATGCAACATTCCAAACAGTTGGTTCCATCTGGGCCCGTTTTTGTTGGACATCCAAGGAATCACAAATCACCAGTCGACTCGACTTCCCTACTCGTCGTCCGAACCACGGGCGGCGCGTTCCTACTTCGCGCCCTGGCGACGCGGATGCGAGGCACGCGGAAAAGGCACCATGCTTGGGATCCTTGAGCATCCGCAGCTGTTGGGGCACCGCCTCCAAGTCCTCAAAACGCCGATGAGCTTGCGCCATGAACCAAGTCGGTCCGAGCATGGGGTCCCGGGTTGAAAATGGCTAAGGGGGCTTGTGCATGGAGCCCGTCCCACGACTCCAAAACACGTATTCCCTAGGGATCCAAGTACCTTCTCAGAAGGTGAGACTATTTATGTAGGCTTGGAGGGCCCAAGTACCTTCTGAGAAGGTATGTGGATCCCTAGGGATTATACATGCTGACTCCAACGACTCCATCATATTCAGCAGCAACGAGACCGTTCCCTCGAGAATTCCCGTGGCACCGTTGCATTCGTACCGAAGTCCAACGCAGCCGGCGACGTCGCCTGTTTCTACGTCGCCTAAGGTCCCACCCCTCAGGTAGTGAAGGGGAACTCCGAGCGCCAGGCTTCCAGGGGTTTGTTTCGCTCGACGAATGAACTCACCCATATGCATCTCTCCGCACACCTCCCCTGCTGACTCTTAAGTAGCTCTAGATGTCAGGCTATAGATGGCTATAGAAACTTCGATGTTGATGCCAAGTATCCATGCTCTGCACCATTGGCGCTTCACTCTCCATTGCCCCCCCGGTCGCACGTCGCCGGTTTCGACACAAACCGGGTTTTGCCGTCGGCTGCCAAGTCGCGGCCAAAGCGAAGGTGGGGGTTGGGAAGCACAGGATGAGTATGCAGCATGTCATGTGTCCTTCGATCAATTTCACTCAAAGGATGCCCAAGGTACTTGGGGCAAACATCGGGTGTCCACTCACTGGCACGGTTTTGCAGGTCATGCCTCATTCTGATTCCTTTGGTGGTGGATCAATGCAACCCCCCCCAAAAAAAGCACAGGCTAGGTCACCTCCTAAAAGTAACTTGAGTCACATGCTGGTCCCACAACATGTGTGGGTCCAGCCCTTCGGGAACCCCCCTTTTTCAGCCCGCCAACAGTTCTTTGTGGCAAAAGTCCTAGTCTGTGGGCCCCACAAGCACATCGAAGTAGAGAACCAATCCTCCTCCATTGCATTTCTTAGACAAGTCTTCCGGATCAGCCAGGCTTGAAGGGGCCCTGGTAATCAGGATCTCTTTGGATTGAAAATCTTGCATCACTCACAGCAGGGCGCCACGCGCCGGGCGCAGCCGGGTGCAGCTGGGAAGGACATGCAGTCTTTCAAAGTATGAACATCATGCATAATAACCGCAAAAGAATGATTATAGTAGCAAGATGTAGCAAGTTGCAAGCCGTTACTGCTCCTTTCCTTTCCCTCCCGAAAAAATACATATGGATCGATGTACAACCCCACCTCAGCTATCTCCAGCCAAAAGCGAAGCAAAATTATGCAGGATGCATCATCAAAGGTATAGAACCATTCGGAGGGCCTCAAAAACACACACACTATATATATATACATATATATATATATATACACAATCTGAAAAAGGGCCAACTAGCTTCAAAGTGGTTGCAGCAGGACAACCACACCAAAGTGCGACTACGTAAAGCGCATCCTATATCCCAAGCGCAAGAAACGACCACTGTTTCATTGGATTCCGTGTGACTCGTGCATCTCATCTCTCCAGCATGTGCAAACCCAGAATCCCAGCTGGCACACCCCTGCTGCTACTCTGTCTGTGCCTTAAAGCCGCTCACCCACGCCAGACCTCCTTCTGGCAGCAAACGATGTAAGGTGTCTTGGGAAGTTCGAAGCCAAGCTTGATGCCTCAGCCCACCCAACCTGTACCCGCCCACATGCGGCACGCACCATGGAACAAGTGGTTACTGGTAGGGCTTGGGTCATGCAAACGAGTTCTTGTCTATAGTCTATAATAATCTATATACTCGAGGACAACAGGATTGGGTTGATGGAAGAAAACAACTGCATGATTGGGACACTCAAGGAGTGATTCCACCATTCACTGGTTTGGCGAATTTGCGAACCCTTTTTATGATCACCAGTGAGGTTCAGAGTCGGATCAGGGCGTCCTCTTTTCCCCGAGGAGGGCGTCGGCACTGGTCTTCGGGGGCGTGGGTGGGGAGGGAGGTTCTGTCTTGCACGTGATTCCGCATTATGCACTCCTTTTCGCCCAGATCGCCGCCGTTTGACAAGGGTGGCCAGGAGGTTTCTGGAATTAGGACACTGGGAATAGTTAACATGCTGTATGTGAAGTTTCTACAACAGTGACTGACTCATCAACTAACTATATATAGTTATTATAAATTCAACGGTGAACACGCCGACTAATACGCATCTAGTAACCATTACTTTTACACCCAATGTGTTCTGCTATGCTGTGCCCATGAACTACTCCCATCGCGCAACTCCCCAACCCCTTGCTGAAGTGGGTGGTACCATTACACTTAGCTGAGAACAATCATTTGACCTGAATAAGTAAGATGCAAAGTTAGGATATAATCCCCGTTCGCCACAACCTGGCATTCTTCATGCACTCCGCAGAAGTGCCTGCAAGAAATCAAGAAATCCGAAGTGCCTGATACCCGAGCTCAGTGGTAGGAATGTCTAGATATGGCATTGGCAAACATTGGAAGAACCCCCTTCCGCACGGAGCTTAGGGGCAACGGTTTCAACGTCCGGGATCTCCGTGGTGGGAGCCCCAAGCAGGAGATATAGATCTCTGAATTCAGAACATAAGTTGGAATGCAACATCTCTTCTTTCCCGTTTTTCAGGTTAGGGATATAAAGTTCTTCACATGCAGAACTGATCCACAAGCCTGCCAACAACATGCACAACCCTACCCCAGCGCGACAAGTCACAAAAGATCTTGGCTGAGCCCTCACAGACCAACTCAGGCTTGAACATGTAGCACCCACCATTGGCTGCAGGGCAGCTGTCACCACTCTGGAAGCCACAGAAGAGTTGGCTGTGGATGCAACCTGAACATGAAACATCGATTTCGTAACACCTCCTGATTGGCCAAAACCAAACCGCCATAGAAACCACTACTAGGAATTTGGCTTCACCTGACTACTTGGCCTCGACATGCCTCGACACAAATGGCCTCGACATCGGCACCGCCGGCACGACCACGTGGCCCGCGCACCCCAACCGGGTTGGTGAAAAAAACACCACACCTCACAGCAGAACAAAGAAAGGTTGTTGCCACTGGTTGAGAGATATAGAAATCACCAACCTTTACACATTTAGTGAATGAATACAATACTTGAGAGGAGGGAGACACGAAAGGTAGGACAGCGGGAAGAGAAGAGAACGCGAGAGGCAGGAACAAAAATGCAATGTTCGACATGGTGATTTATCCCCTCGGAGGCGACCTTTCGTAAATATATGTTCATATGCACTTTAAATGTTCAAACATGTGCTCTCGAAATGTTCAAAAAGATTCTTAGGAAAACAAACTTGCCCCATGGCTCAGATCATCGGTGAGCATTGAATCGGAACATCATAGGATTTGAATTATCCTGAAACCATAAGAGGCTCACGAAGACGCTCCCCAGGAGAGAATTGACGTGCTTCACAAAACGTACCCCTCGGGGAACACCTTTCGTGATTAGAATTTCATATTCACTCTTTCTAAATGTTCAAGAGGGTTTCAACTATCCTGAAATCATGAGAGGCTCACGAAGACGTTCTCCAGGAGAGAATTGATTTTAGAGGGGGGGAGGGGGGGGGGGTCTGAATTGAGCGATCAATTATTAGACCCGGACGTCCCAACACTTTCTTCGCAAGACAAACTCAAGGTATCCCCTAAAGGGCTACCTTTCGTGATATGTTTTGTTTAATCGTCACCAATACGTCAACAAATCTTCAAAATCCAGAACTTGCATTTTCACACGACCCATCCACATACACCTCTCATCTTCGCCGCAATAACCGACAACCCCAAACCACCACCAACTGACACTTAGTGATCCAAGGAGAATATCCTTCAAGCGCCTTCAAGCTCTGTAGATATGGGCCACCATCACAAGACACGTTTGCCCTTGAACAGGATGTATTAAGTTGTGCTTCTATGTGCTTCTATAGTGCCCAACCCAAGCAAAAAACAAAGCCCATCATCTCCGATCTCCAATACGCAAGCAGTGGCATTCTTCGTTGCACTCTCTAGTGCTACTGTGGGGGGTCACTGCATTTTCACACCACATCGACGTGACATGATCGCTCTGATCACCCAGCGACAGAACTTGGTCTCCTCTCCCACCATCACATCGCCCGCGGGTTTTCCTGAGGCAAAGCCCTTTGAGACTGAAGAGTGCAAGCGTATGAGCGGCCACCCCCTTCCCTTACAAACCAAAAAACATCAAGAAAAATAAACACCAATATGTCGAAGTCATCAGAACTCTGAAAAGGAGTGTAAGCCAGGAGCTCCTGGCTTACACTTGGATGGCCCACATGGTCATCCCTTGGGGTCCCATCCCATCTTCCATGTGATGTCTTATGCCAGGAGGGCCAAAGGCCAGTATGACCCACATGATCTAGTTCTGAGGGTCTCCAACCGATCGGATGGACTCCCCTGAAACCGATCGAAGTAAGCGATGTTTCGTGAACGAAAGAGTGAGTGGTCTTGGCGTGGTGAAAAGCCACAAGAATCGAAAAATCAAAGTTGATGGAAATCGCGGGGAAAGCTATCTGACATTAACACACCAAAATATACAACTACAATTCAATACAGTCTGTCTGCTTTTCCAGGCGGAGGTTCTTCCTTCAACAGTTCAATACTTTCATGAGTTCTGGGGATAACTGCACAAGTCTGAATCTACTACAGCAAGCATCCGTACTTCTGGGACTATACATCTAGGACCGGAAGATTGCCAAACGATACTTGTCTATGTTTTCTATATATATATATACATCTGTACTTGGGGACGAGGCCCCAACAACAAATACAGAAGCAAAATAGGCACCAAGCGTTTCTCAGGCATCCAAGTGTCCGATGCCACCCATGATACAAAAGAGCTTCGAATACAAGGAGTCATTGCTCACAGGGGCCTCGGAAGTTGCTGAGTCAAGGCTGACAAAGCAAGGAACGAAAACAAAGCTTGACGAAGCGGATCAGGGGTTGAACAAATGCCTTGAGATGTTCTAAGCGTTCTAAGTGCATCCAAGTGAAGGTTTGAACTCTCAAGCATTTAAACAAATCCGAGCCCATGATGCGGTCTGTTCGACTTCCAAATCTTCCAAGGTTAATGGATCGCCCGTGGATTTGGTTTGGACCACTCTTGGGAGGTGGTGGGCTACTACCTGAACACCCTCACCATCTAATCACCCGAAGTGGAAATCTCCTTGTTAGTTCCATTTCGGTAGGGCCCCATGTTGGAAGTCTGGAGACTTCCCCCAAGCGCCAAGTGGGCAAAACCACGAACGGCCACGTGGCCCGGCACGTTCCCATGGTCTTCCGTGCGCCCTGAGAGTCCAGTCATTGGAACGTTCTGGGTTCAGCGTGCATGTCGCGGAGCCACGCTCTTGCATGTCGTGAGTCGCTCTCCTAAGTCTTGGCCTGTAACATTGGATGAAACTCATCCCAAGAAAGAACAACAACTCCAACTGAACATCACAAGACCTCCAGCCCCAACATCCCCCAGTTGTTCTCCGCTCACCGAGGCGAGGATCAGAACCTTCACCCAGGCTCTGGTAGGCCGACCACGCACCGTGCTGCCTCTGACCGCTTTGGGGCGGTAGGAGGCGGTCCGAAGACCAAACAACCAGGTCGTTGTCAGCTTCTGGAAGAGAGATATTCCGATGTTATATGGTTTAAATGTGTACAGTATATCTTAAATGTTTACATATTGTATAATCATATGATATAGTAAATATGTAAATATACTATATTCATGCATATGTTATTGACTTATATATCTGTTCCGTTCATATCGAATTTGTGTGGCCCTATCGCAGCCTATCGCCAGGAGCCTCTTGTTTGGAAAACATTGGCAATCATTTGATTGTTGAGTTCATGTAGTTCTGAAATTCGGGCTCCCCCAAAGCTCAAGGCCAGGGACCTGCACATGTTTCTTTATTTTTAATAGGGTTCTCTTCAAGACGGACGTGGTGATGTCAATCGTGCATCTCTCAGTTGGCGGCATAAATCCCGCATGTAAACGAAGAATCCATTTTGGGTGTCACGATGCCTCTAAGTCTCCCCCGCAACATCAAAAAAATGCAAACAGGTGTGGCGTCTTGACGGGGTGGTCTCTTGACCGAGGGTAGGTGTCATCGACTCTGGGGATCTCTGGAGTCAAGAAGGGGGCGAAGGTTCTGCTTCGGTCTCGGGTAAAGTCTGAAACTCAATGAATAATCTAGTTGAGCTATCACAATGAGTCCGTCTTCAAGAAAAGGCTGAGGTTGACACCATCTTAAGTTGGAAGATGTTGGAACATCCGATCAATTAGAATCATTCGGAGGTCATGAGGTCCAACGTTTTCTATGAATTGCATTTGCAGTATATACATGTCATTCGGGTGACGTCGTGCAGTAGCTGGCCTGTAGGGCGAGGATTTTCCTCGCCACCCACGTGTCCCATGCGGCATGTGTTCACCTGTGTGTTCACCATGGCAACCAAACAGGCTGTTGGTGAAACAAAGCACCTCTTTTTCTCATCATGGGCGAACGAGGGTTGCTCCCGGCGCGTCTAAAAGCACCAAGTCTCCTGAGCCCTGAGACTTGCAACATGTGCCAAATAGGCGCTTCATGGAGGGTACACTCCAAATAACATCATGGCCTTAATAGGATCACCATGGACTCCGAATCACACAGAGGTGGTGAACTCCACTAACCCATGATGGCAGAAGTGTTTTCTGTGGACTCTTGATTCATCAACACCCCCCACTTGGATTGTATATAAAAGCTTTCCATGTCCCACTCCATGACTGGGTCTAAAACCCACCAGTCCAAGCTCCCTTTCCATCCCAGTGGCGGATCCTCCAGCATCGACACCTGCATGGGCGCAGCCTCCGTGTCCTTCCTGAGGTCCGCAGCTGTTTTCTGAAAGGAAATACTGTAATGATGGAAGTATATGGCGTGGCCACTTGGATGACCATTGTTCATCCGCCGTAGGCCAAACAGGTGGTGAACTCCACTTCCATGTTAGTGACCCGGAGAGTAAAGGAAACATGTGGAAACTTCCATGAACCTTGGGTTTTCAGCACGAATTGTGAGGCTCTCAAGGGAGAACAGAAATGGAGCTATGAAAGGGAGCTGACCGATGGGTCCCTGACCGAAGGGTCAGGAGTACGTCCACTCCAAAGGGCTTCCAGCTGGTGCCAGTGATCAGTTCATTCATGCTACATGCGTCATGCGACTCATGCGACCACAAGGCGAGCCACTGGAGATCCCATTCAAGGCATCAGTCAAGGAGCCCCTAGTAGCGTCCTTGCTCCTAGTAGCGATGCCAGGAGCCCCTAGTAGTGTCCAAGTTTTGCAAGGGTTCAGTGAATTCCCTGCGGAATGACCGGTTGACCGGTTGCGCGAAACCGACACCGAGCGTCTCATCCATGACTTGTGGCACCGGAGCTGCCATCGTTGGAACCACGGGCAGGATCGGCAGACCGCGGGAAGTGCTACTTTGTGAATCAGTTTCACCACTTGAGCGGCTCGCTGGTGGAGCAACACGGCGAGCAGGACACCGCGTTGACGACAGGTGAGGAAGGTATGTGAGGGTCCACCGGACGCACGTCGGTACACCAGAGAGTTCGGTGTTCGGTGTTCAGTTCGGTGTTTAAGTGTGTTTGTTTCATGGGTCCTGACCCATGCATCCATGCGTAGGAATGATGAAGAGACTGACACCTGAACAATCTTACGAGGATCCGTCCTTCTTGAGGGATTCTTGGTGCCAAACCGGTTTTGAAGCGGGGCTCCATGATCGACAAAGTAAATCTGGCATCCAGATCTTGGTTTGGGCTTTCCAACACCTGCAAGTTGTAGAGGTATCCTCTGATTCAACTCATGCCAAATGATGCACGCACAAGATGACATCGAACTTGCATGTAGATCATGTGGATCCTACAAGACCTGTTTGTTTTCATATCTTTCATGACATCCAGCTCGTTGCTCTTTGGGTCTGGAGGGTGGGCTGAAGTGACATCCAGTTGAAGAAGCAACCATTCAGAACCTACAGTCCAATCAGAAGTCGCTCAATGGCCAAAGACCAAATTTCTTAGCTTATATAATTAGAATTAATCAGATATTGAGCCAAGAGTCTTGACAAGAGTATATTTCTCGAGGTGCGGAATTGTTGCCAAAGAATCCAGAGCTTCCCTCAAATTCTTCACACATAATCACGCATACTCCCTCCATGATCAACGAGCTTCTGCACCACCCATGATCTGCAAAAACATGTTTAGAATCCCCTTTTCGCTTTTCACCTGCGAAGCATTGCGAAGCCTGGCATTTTTTTGTGTTCCGCGATTCACTTCATCAGTCTCCCAACGGTGGTGGTCCGCGGGTCCGCGCCTGGTGCTTTAGATGGCACAGGGTGGAGAGGCCGACCTGGACCTGCACGTCACCCAGGACTGACCTCGCGACGAGGCGTGCTCGTTCTGCGCGGCGGGAGGTCGCTGGTGCGACGTCCTCGTGGGAACTGCACGGAAAGGACTGCCCGGTTTGGGAGACAAAGGAACATCTGGTCCGGAGTCAGGGCTTTTCTGAGGATTCTCCGCACCTGCAGCTTCCATAACCTTCCTACTGAGGAGATCTGACTTCACTCCCTGAATCTGACTTAGCCTTTCCCCCCCAATTTCCCCCTATAAGGAGTCAGAACACGATGGCTCGCGTCGACCTGAGCAGGGGGGGAAGGCAAACAAAATCAGAAGGCATAGTAGATTTTGGGTATAGTATAAAAGGTCTACTAGCCTTCCGACTCAGGAGCCACATCGTTAGTCTTGGTTATAGACGTTTCTTCAGCCTGCGCCAGTCGCACAAAGCCTGGTCGGCTTCTTGTTAGGAACCAAACAAAATTGAAACATGTACCCAAACAAGGGCATTCACCCACAGGGATCCAGAGGGAAGCAAGACCAAGCTAGTATGGCAGGCTATGGAGACTTGTGGAACAATTCGACCATCACAAAAACAAAGAACCCATCCAGGAGGCATTGGAATCGGATTGGATAAATTAGGACGACTGTCCGCTATTTTGGGCATATTGTTGATCAATTAGGGCCGCCCACAGACCCAATGCGTTATATAATACAAACAAGTGTCTTGAAAGACCCCTGTGCTACTCTTGCATGAAAGGAAAACTGTTGCACGGATAATCCAAGAGCCGCTAGGTGTGGGAGAGAGCCCACTTCATGAAGAACTGTTAACCTTCAACTAACACAGAAGTGAAGTGCAACAAACATTCAGTTTGTAAAGGAACCTGATGCTCTTCCTGGGGTGTGTGCAATCTTTCCACCAAACCATGTGGCATCGATGGTACTATTGAATTGGCGGAAGCAGTAGCACTCCGACGAGTCTTCTCCAAAGCTTGGTCTCCCAGCATTTCGACCTCCACCGGAGATCGTGGGGACACCCCTTCACCTTGGTAGCTGAGGTTTTTCGTCGATCTCGGGCGGCAAAGCGAAGGTACTGGCGGATGCGGGTGGAAGTATCATAAGGGCATATGTATATATACGTGTATGTATACATGTATCGATACACTTCGCATCAAATCCAGCTCTTTACTGGCCATGAAGCCTCTCTGGAGTGAATCTTCTCACAGGGGATGGATATATGAGGATATGAGTACAATGGTGAGAGTGTCCACAAAATCGATGAGAGAAGGCATATTTTCCAACTGTATGATGTATGGGGGAGCCGAAACTCGTCTTCGGACACCAGTCATAGCGGGGCCAATCAACATGATATACCTTATACCTTGTTTTGTGCGTGTGTTTTTCCAGGAGTTCTCGCGACTTTCAAACATCTGAAACCCAAACACGCCCCCTCACCCATGTTTATTGACCGTCAAGGATGATAAACCAACCACACACCGCGTGTGACTTCAACCTCCGCGCTGCAACTGCGCCGGAGCGCACGTGAACGATAACGGACTTGAAGGGGTGTAAAAGGCTGTGCTCCAAACAGGAAGCAACATGAATGGATTCAATCGACTGCTTCAGTCCTGGTCCATTTCTATCGGATTCCAGCAGTCAGCAGTAGGGCTGTCAATGATTGTGCCGTGGGGGTGATTGTCCAAACCTTCTAATTACAAAAAACAAGTCATGGTAGAGTCCGCTATAGTAGTCCAATACGACCCACAATAATTGGAACAGAAGCTGAACAGCACCAAAAAAACATACAAATGTGTGTACGTATACAGTGTATGTGTGTGTGTCTGTATGTATATGTACAATGTACGACGGTCGAAGGTCCACCAAATCCCAGCAGCTGGTCTCCTCTGTGTCATCTTCCGACACCTTCCGCTCCTGCGGAAAAGAAAACTTCATGACTCTTCCGAGCACGGGCGTCGGACAGGTTGGACCCTCGGTCAAGTCCCGTCGGTCGAGTCCTTTGTTCGGGGGAAGTGCAAAAAGGTTCCGGGAGGTTTTTTTTGTGTTTGGTGCATCGCGTGTGCTTTGCCAAAAGGTTCTGGAACTCGAACCAGAAACTGTGAACTTGAGGCCAGGGGGAGAGGTCGAAAGCTAGCCGAATCGCACCGGATGTACTAGTTACATAGTCGGCAAAGCATGTAGGGATTACATGTTTTGGGAGGAAGGTTGCTATGTACATACTTTGCGCTAAAGAATGTAAATGTGACATCGCTGACTGGGAAGGGTACATTGGAACAACCCGGGTGCACTCGTTGGCAGGCACGAAGATGCGTGATCGGCAAATCTGGGGGGTAAATTTACCCTCCGCTTTTGTATGCCTTGAGTCGGAAAGAGGGGTAAGCATTTCTGACATCATACGGACTGTACATACACTAGGGCGTCCGTAGTGTAGGAGAAGCACGGGCAAAAGGTATATGGAATAGAGTGTCTTGAGGAAATAGCCGGTGTATGGTTATTGCAAATCTGGGGGGTAAATTTACCCCCCGCTTATGTATGCCTTGTGCTGGAAAGAGGGGTAGGCATTTCTGGCATCACAAGGACTGTGCATACACTAGGGCGTCCGTAGTGTAGGATA